ATGCCAACCACTGGAGAATCCCCGTGGTGGGTTGTCTTGGTCTGTTCTGGCTGCTATAACACAGTACTATATACTGAGTGGCTTTTAGAGAACAGAAATTTAATTGTCACAGTTTGGGAGACTGGGAAGCCCAAGATCAAGTCATGAGATAAAGATCAAGGTAGGAGAGGACTCTCTGGGGACTGAGGACACTGATTCCATTCCTGAGGACTCCACCCTTACTAGCTAATCAAGGACCCAAGAAGTTGCCTACACCATCACACAGGTGACTTGAATTTCAACACATGGATTTGAGTGGGAGGCATTCAGTCTACAGCATATATCTGTGATATCCATTGTGTAGTTCTTTCAATTTCTTAATATGCTGAATATTTTCATAAGTACACATAACTAAGAGGGGGAGAAAACTATCCGAAGGTGAATCTCTTCCATCACGGCCAGTTTCTTCCAAGTGTCTCACTTTTGTCAGCAATAGTAGACTTTCCATACAGCTAATTCACGAAACACGGAAAACTAATGTTCAGATAGGAAACAGGAACTCCACAGATTTAAAGTCATGACCCTGATGAAACACACAGCTATTCATTCAGTGCAGCAGGCGTCAAGATCTGCTCTCAATGCTTTTCAACATCTCTCCTTTTATTCTTCCCAGCAATCCTCTGGGTAGGAGGCATTGTATTCACATTGCAGATGGAGAAGGCCAAGCCAAGGGAGAGCAGAATAATGTGATTAGCAATAGGCAAAGATGCTTTTGCCATGAGAGCAGATTTAATCAGACATTTGATAACAGCAATAGCTTAAATATCACCTACATTTAAAAGTGCTTCAATATCCAGCCAGTGACTGCCTTTTAAGGAAATGAAATGAAAGCCTGAAACTTGGAACTTCCTAGGATGGCCAAAGGAAGTAGTCAGTGATCTACCCATTCAGGAAATATTTACTGAGCAACTTCTATGGGCCAAAGACTCTCCTAGGAGCAAGGGGGTTGAGTAGTAAACAAAATAGATAAGGTTTGTTTTCTGTGAACTTACATCCCAGTGGGCACCTGAGGAGTCGACAACTGGCAGCCTTGACTCCAAGAGGAAACTCCTTGTTGAGGTGACATCTCCACCACCTTCGTATTCCTAGGACCTAGCACTGAGACCCTGTGGCTTCAAGATGGTATTTGGCCTTTACTGGCTCTAATCATGTAAAAGATGTTCCCCCATCCATCATACATATTTCAGAATAAAACAATACAAAGTTGAAAAAATTATGGGTAAAAAGGTCTAACCAAGTTTAAATTTTTCCTGTGATGGCTGTATTTCTATGAAATATGAAAACCTTGCTTACCACAGTCTGACCAATGCATTTCTATATCTGCCCCTGCTTTGCTTGCTCATTAAGCAGGGACTAACTATGACAATTGGCGGGGGTGGAGTCAGGCCAACACTATAGGCACTCACATTGATTAATCCTGGAAAAAGTAATTTTAGAGGGGATTGAAGTGCCCCACTCGTGGAGGTGGGAGGCACCTAATTTCAACTGGAGCTCACGTATCTTTTATTACTATCCAGACAAATTCATCATTGTATTCTCAGGAAAGCCCATCCTTGCCTGAAATCTGATCACCTTCTGTGTCACTTTAATAGGTTGTGTTCCTATTGCCTTGTCCTGTTTACCTTAGTCATTTGCTAAAATTGCTTCTGGAAAACCTCAAGTGGCTTCTTGCTTTCCCAGGGGAAGAAGCCAATCTTTCCACAGAGAGGGAAGTGCCTGTCTGATTTTTCTCTGCCTCATTTCTAGTTTTGCTGCCACCTTAAGCTGTCAGCAATTTTCTAAAAAAAACCTCTCTTATTTTTAGTTCAGGTATTTCACTTTTCCTATTAATTTTTAGTACCATTTTATTAGAATACTGTTTCAATATTTGATTGATATTGATAAATGTGATTTTGATTTTGAGATGCATGTGGTCCATGGTAGGGATCAGCCTTCTCCTCATCTTTCATTTTTCCGGAGAATTACCTCCCACTCTCTCAATCAAGTTGAGTCAGGTTCCTTCACATAGTTCTAGTCACCTGGTTTAAAATGATCGTGGAACCAAAAGATTCAGGGATCAGTTGACTTGAATCTTTTCAAATGACCAAGATTCTAACTCAGGCTGTTGTCTGTTCTGAGGTTGGAGAAGCAGGAGCATGACTTTCCATCTCCATTAGAAACTCTCCCATTGGAAGCTGTGTGGATCCCTTCCGTGAATCATATACCAAAATTACAGCAGGATGGTGAGTTGGCCATAATTGGCTTAATTTGGGATGAAATTGCCTGAGAAATCACTAGCTATTATCCCTCAAGTCATGTTTGATAGGGAAAGTACATTTTTTTCCCAGAAACTAGAATATACTATCTTCGTTGTGCAACATGTGAAGTTTATAAGCAATAGCTAGGAAAAAAGTTTTAAAATTGTGTAGTATGTGAAACTCTTCAAAAGACATTCTCACTGGCCCATGTCAATTCAGTAATGTTTTGATTTAAATGTAATAAATATATACCAATATAAAGCTTGTTTTATACTCCTTATGAGTCATAGTCACTCATGTTCATATGTTATATGATCATGAAACTAAATTAGATCTACAGATTAGATGATACTGTGAGATGGATAATAGTGATATTCGTAAAGTTTTTCCTATATTCAAGGTACAAAGTCTTTTTTTTTAATATTTATTTTTTTTAGGTGTAGATGGACACAGAACAATGCCTTTATTTTTATGTGGTGCTGAGGATCGAACCTGGGTCCCACTCATGCTAGGCGAGTGCTCTACTGCTGAGCCACAATCCCAGCCAGAGTCAAAGTCCTTATGTATATTAAGCTCATTTAATGATCACGGAGGCGGGTACCATTGCAATCTCATCTGGTTTGCGGATGAGAAACTGAGGCACTCAGGCCACTTAACTACTAATTCTTGGAGCTTTGCTTTGACTCTAGGCATATCAGTTTTAGAGGATGTACTTTTAACAATTAGGCTAAGCTGCCTCTTTAAATGCCAATGGATGGCATTAAATTTAACAGAGGGCCTTGATCTGTTAACATTAATTTGCTTGCAACTGGTTTAACTGGGTAGAAATGTATGTATGTACCTTGACTTTTAGGGTTTAGAGAATGAAAGACTGTCACATGAGTATTATGACTGTCATTATTTTCTCTTTTTAACAATGGATGTATTAACCCTGCATCTGTTATTTGAATGATCTAGTTTAACTTTTGTTTTACTGCAAAACACAAAATCCAAAAAAAAAAAAGTAGATATGGGAAAGATGTATTTAAAGGCAGGTAGTCATACATTCTAGAACATTCTAGACCTAATGATCTGGTTCTTTAGACTTTAGAGGCCTGTACAGCATCTCAGTTCTATACCACTTTTTTGGTCACTTAATTCTAGGGAAACCTTCCACTGTGGTATCATTTGGCCTTGCCCTGGGACCAAAGCGGGATACACGAAAAGATAAGAGGGATAGGGTGGGTCACACTGCCATTAGATTATCATGTAAATTCTCCAGAAAAAAATTTAATTACTTTTGAAATGAAATTATTACTTGATAATTCCTTTAAAAATGCTTTTTTCAAAAATATATCTACAGGAGTTTATGATCTTTGGTTTACAAGCCACTGGGCTGGGATATGACTCAGATTGGAATTTTTGTTTTCTATAAATTTATTTATTTATTCTAATTAGGTATATATGACAGCAGAATGCATTTTGATTCATTGTACACCAATGCAGCCCAACTTTTCATTTCTCTGGTTGTACATAATGTAGTATAGCACCATATGTGCAGTTGTACATGTACCTAGGGTAATGATGTCCACATCATTCCAGCATCTTTCCTGTCCCCATACCCCTTACCCTTCCCCCTCCCTTTAGCCCAGTCAAAATTCCTCCATTCTTCCCATGCCTGCTCGACCCTCCCCCTCCAATTATGGTTCAGGATCCACTTATCAGAGAGAACATTCAGCCTTTGTTTTTTTGAGATTGGTTTACTTCACTTAGCATGATATTCTCCAACTCCATTCATTTACCTGCAAATGCCATATTTTATTCTCTTTTAATGCCAAGTAATATTACATTGGGTATATATATATATATCACAGTTTCTTTATCCATTCATCTGTTGATGGGCATCTAGGTTGGTTCCACAGTTTAGCTATTGTGAATTGAGCTGCTATAAACATTGATGTGGCTGCATCATTTTAGTATGCTGATTTTAAGTCCAAATGGAATTTGATCTGAAGCAGAAAGGAAAGCAAGCAAGTCCGGCAGCTGCTGAGTGTGGTGGTGGCCCCTGAAGGGATGAAGCCAGGGTGGGGTTCTCCAGTGTGAAAGACTAAGTGCTTCTGCTCTCACTGGGTCTCTTCTTGCAACTAGACTCTTGGCTTCTTTGGAGTTTTTCTTATTGTTTTACCAAAACTTTCCCAATTATTGTTGCTGAAGGCCAAGCTTTGTCCATATTACATTAATTTATGTAGGAATATAAATATTCCTCCTGTAGGAGGAATACTGTGAGCTTACCAGTGGATCCCTAAGTTAAATGTTTCCTGAAAAAGAGAGCTATGTGCTGCTAACACTACCCTCCAGACATGGGATGGCTGGAGCATACTGGTCCACACAAATTCCTGGTTTGCCTTTTCACTACCGGGCCACTAGTATCTGGCAGGGCTGTGCACACAGTTAGTGTTCACTGACTCCAAGCTGAGTGAAGAAATGACATCAACCTTATCAGTGTCTGGGGAGATGTTTTTCAAGTCTTTATGGCATGATATAATAATCTCAGGTATTTATAAATAAAATCCATAAATTTAATAGCCATGAAGGAAATTTTCTAGAAGATGGACAGTTAAAAATGTCAGAATGAATTTTCTTTTTTTCCATCAATGAATACTCTCCCACTGCCCCCTCAGAGTCAGGGGCATTGGACATTGCACTTCTATTTTAATAGTCTCTTTGTGAGCGTTCTAAACTCTTCTCAGTGCCAGCCAGCTTCAGCTGCATCTGGTGCCAGTAGTATTCCATGTAGGATATTAGTGAGATGGCCAATCACCGGGCCCTACCTTTCCTCTTAGGACCCAGGTAAGAGCCTTCTGAAATCTCCTAAGAGCCAACTTGCAAAGTTCCCTCTGGAGCTCATTAGAAGGAAAGGAAACTTCATGGTTTTTCTCGGACAGATTCAGATCAGCTAATGAAAAACGGAAGGAAGAGTCAGTCCAGAACAAGAAGCTGTGGAGATAGAGCATCCATGTGAGTATATAAGAGACTATTTCCTTTGAAATAGAATATATTAGGTTTTAAGAAAGAATAGTTGTGGAGCTTTTTTTTGCAGCTGTATAATTAAATAATTAAAGCCATGTACTTCTGATTTTAAAAGCTGAAGAGTGGAAAAATGTTGCCTAGCTATCCCTTTTGAGGTGATCCTGCCTCCTGCTAGTGGTGGGCTGCATGATTCTCTTGTCCTCTCAGGACTCGTCCCCTTTGTGTTTGGTAGTGTGTTGCCATGGCAGCATCGGGATGTGCTTTCCTGAAGCTGGACTTGTTAATGGGCTTTTCCATTCTCAGTATCAGAAAGGGAGCAGAGAGGGGAAAAGTATAATTTAACTACTCTATTTATTGAGTAAGTTTCTTTAAGGTCAGTGAAATAACAGCATTATTGGCTATTTGTATGGAAAGGTATTCATGTGAAGTGAAATAAGCCAGATTCAGAAATGAAGAATCTTGAATGTTTTTTTTTTTTCTAATGGGTAGAAGGTAGAACAAAATAAGGGGAAAAATGTGGGGATGGATCGCATGAAAATAGTGGGGTGATCACTGGAGAAGAGGAGGGGGAGAGACAGAAAGGGAGAAGACATGGGGAAAGGGAGGAACTGCAGAATGAAATTGACAAAAAGATTATGCTATGCACACACATTAATAGACCACAATGAATTCTACCTTTTTGTTTTTCTATAAAGCCCCAATTAAAAAAATAAATATATAGAAGGAAGGCCAGTAGAGTAGAGGAAGGAGAACATGGAGATGGAGGAGGGGAGAGAAAGAGGAAGCACTGGGGATTGAAATGGATGCAGATTTTATTCCACTCATGTATGATTATGTCAAAAATGAACCCTGCTATTATGTATAACCAGAACATACTAATAAAAGCATTTTTAAATAATCCCCATAAGGCACTATTTATGCACATTGTGTTCCTCATTGTGCTTCAAAATTTTTTTTTTAGCTTGAATTTTTCAGCACCTGATCTGTATTGTAGTTTATCTTAGGGGACTTAGATTTTTCTCCTCCTTCCTTCCTCCTGTTTGCTTTTTCTCTTTCTCACTCCTTTTCTTTGTGATGCTTGGGATGGAATCCTCAGCCTCACACATGCTAAACAAGTGCCCTACCACTGAGTTGCACCCCTAGCCTGGGCTTAGACATTTACCACTTCCTTCTCAGATTGCACATAGTCCATGTGTATTGTTTATATATATAAATGTGTGTTGTAGGTGAACACAATACCTTTATTGTAGTTCTATGTGGTGCTGAGGATCAAACCCAGTGCCTCTCATGCTAAGTGAGTGCTTACCACTGAGCCACAACTCCAGCCCAGTATTGTTTCTTACAGGACCCTGCCTTTCCAGGGACACTTAACCACTGAGTTACATCCCAGTCCTTTCTATTTTGAATCAGGATCTCACTTAATTGCTTAGAGCCTCACTACGTTGCTGAGGCTGGCCTTGAACTTGCTATCCTCCCACCTCAGTCTCCTGAGTTGCCGGGATTACAGGTGTGTGCCACTGCACCCAGCTAGGACATGACTTTTTAGATGAAGCCAGTTCTTTTGGAAAGAAAGATGCTTTCTTCGAAGTGTTTGAGAATGCTTTATGTTTCTAGCCTTCCTGAAGAAGTTTATTATTATCATGATTCATTATTCTTAGCACTGCCTAGCTTTTAAAACTATTTACGGATTGTTGTCAGTGAATAGTGGCCACTTTGGAAAATCTACTTTTAAAATGTTACAGTTGGAGTTGGGAAAAGCCTTCCAAATCACTTCCACTTCAAGTGGTTTAAGGGGGCTAATTAGTTCTATTTCTAAGCAGCTTATTTTTCCCTCTCTCTGGTTGAAATTATAAACAACAGTCAAAACTTTAAACTTGAATGTATTAAAAAATAGCTCTGCCTAGGTGTTTCTCTTCCAGACAGGGTAAAGCTATGGAAAGAGGGTTTGAGTACTGACAATTTCATACTAAAGGGCAGGAATGAAAAATGGCAAAGAGTGAAAATAATTTATTAAATATGTTCTCAATGCCTTGAGAATATTGTTCACCAATAGGGTGGACAACATATTTTTAAATGAACGGTTTCACTTGTACAGTTTTAAAAACTTACATCACTTATTTTTTCTCTTAAAATCCAAAGCAGGAACCAGTACCTGGTGATCGCTTGGCTATTGGAATCAATAGCGTGACCAAAGAAATTCCTGGAAAGTTTTTCAGGAGAAATCCAAGAAGCTACCTACAGGAGAAGATTTTGTTTGTGACAAACAGAAAGAGGTTTATTTTTCTGGTTTCTATTTCTAGCCACATAGCAGGAGGTACTAGCAACATCTCTGGAGACCCTAAGGATATTTGCATTCCACAAGAGACAGAGCAAAGACACCACTCCTTAAAGATAAGACATTCCATTAAGAAATACGTTGCTATCATGCCACTTAGAAGCATCCTTGTAAATGGCAACTAGCATCATCAGATATTGGTGTACGCATATGGGTGTACACATCAAGTGTGAGTGTGTGCACACACCCATGTATGCTGTGGTATGTGAGTTTAAACACAATTTAACCAGTATTACAGTTGATTTCTCTGGAACTACATATTTAGAAACTACTAGCTGTTTAAAGTCTTCAAAAATGAGTTTCTTGGTCTCTTAGTATAATGAGTTGTCTCTACTCACACCCAGAAACATCTTCATTTGTCACTTGGGCTGCATAGGTCTCATGTGGGGATAGCAAGAGTAAAACTGGCTCTGGAGATGACAACTTGGTCTTTGTCTGAAATTTAACTACTGTGTTTCCTGAGATAGGTACCTTAGCTGCTCAGACTTTAGATTTGACCTTGACTGACTTCTTCACCTTGATTTAACTTTGTTATTGAATTATAAGCCAGTTTTTTTGATGGCATTATACGTTTTTCATGGGCATTATAATTTAAGAATTTACTTTTGCTCAATTTTTTTTATTGGTTGTTCACAACATTACAAAGCTCTTGACATATCGTATTTCATACATTAGATTGAAGTGGGTTATGAACTCCCAATTTTTACCCCAAATGCAGATTGCAGAATCACATCGGTTACACATCCACATTTTTACATAATGCCCTATTAGTAACTGTTGTATTCTGCTACCTTTC